GTTTCAGGAAGAATCATGATGGAAGATGCGACCTGAGGGGATTGGGACACTCATAAACACCACGGCTGAGAAGCCTAGTTCTTGATTGATTCAATCTTTCGCACGAAGATCTCGGGCTGAGTCGTCGAAATAGATCGACTGAATCACTTTCGACGTATCAACTTCTTTCAACGGATCACCGGGACTCATCTCGTCTAGCTGCAATATTGTGTTGCCAACAATTTACTAAACATGACCTGTGCGACGAGCCAGTTAGTTCCTACCCAAAGCGCGGCGCCAAGGACGGCTCCGAAGGCTCCTGCGATACCCATTACACGGGATATCTCGTTGAACCAAGGGAGGAGTACAAAAGACAGTGATAGGGCGGCAAAGATGATGATCCACACCTCGACTGACAAAGGAGCATCGACATGAGTGTTGGCTTTTCCTCAACCTACTGCTCATCTCCTTAACCAACATGTTGGCACATGTACCAATGGCGATTATGTTGGCGGCCAATGTGAAGAAGAACTCGAGAGAAACAACCTGAAACAACTCAGCTCTAGCTGACAGACGCGGATCGTACAAGTCCACAGTTGTTACGTGGAGAAAAGGGCTAGCCAGGTGTAACGAGGACCCTCCATTGGAGGCACGCCAGTAAGGAGAGGGAATGTTATTCCCAACAATATATCACGGATTGACAAGTCGAGTAAGTGTGCACAAGCTGATATTGAAAAGTCTGTCGGCTACTATACTGACCGAGCACATAATCCTCTGTACTCACCACTGTGACGGCCGTTCGGCCGGTGTTGCCTCCACAATAACCAGCCAGGAAAGCATACTCCCTCTCGAAGACAGGAACATGATGCTCTTCGCCATACTTTTTGATCTAAAGGTTGGGATATAGACGTTGAGCGGGGATACCCCGATCAGCATCAATAGACTCATATAGTACCTTGGGGTTGTCAATGCAAGCTCTGACGAGTAACACACATAGGAAAATTGCTGAAGCGGCGGCTATTTGGAATACTATGGACAACCAACCAGCGGTGGTGAACATGAAGGGCACGGAGAGACCAATGGTTATCATCGCATTCAATGCGGTCATGAAGAATGACCTGGAGAGGAGAAGTCATCGTTCGGTTCATTGGATGCATTCCCGGATATACACCATTTTTATGTGTGCCACTAACCGGATATAACGCACCCATGCATGGAAGACACAGAAAATCATATCCTACATATTCCAAATTGACCATTCCTTACCCCAAACTAATGCCTTTTTCCATTGCGTTATATCCTCCACCTCCAACAACAACGGAGCTAGCAGCCGTGGTAGCGACTGATCCAGTCGGACTACTAGGCTCACTGACAGCATCAGCTTTGTTCACAACTGCATCGTAGGTCTCGTTAACGCGGGAAGGTGAAGAGTGGGACATGGCTGCAAACGGGACGAGTCACGAGAATGTGATCGCGCCTTATGGGAAGGCATGCCAAACTGTTGATGATGTGATCAAGTACATTCATGAGCAGTGCATATTGAGCACGCACCATACCCGTAATAGACTCATCAGAGGAGACCGCGGTTCCACAAACCTCGAAGCTATTCACTGAGAATCCACATTCAATAAGAATGTATTCACAAAGCGGCAGAATGCAAATATGCTCCAACCTTCTGGGAACGCTCAATACTGAGTCTGATTATCACATCCGACCCATTTCAACGCAAAATATAACAATTCATCGTATACTTTCCTTGATGATCTCAGCCCTTTTGTGCTCTTTGCGTTCCCTTTCTAACGCTTAGCACGGAGCTCTTCACGGCTAGAAGTCGAATGTCGATGTTTTAGTTTA